TATGATAATTCTAACATTGTTGTAACATATAACAAAACATTATTAGTGAATATAAATTATAATTATATTTTATATGTATTATAATGTACATATACACAATAATGTACAAAATATAATTTTAATATTGCATATATCATTAATTCTATCTTGCATATATCATTAACTAACATGTTTATGTCTTCACTAATATGTCAATAACATTTTTTGTGTATATACACATATATTATAATACACATAAAATGTAATTGTAATTCGTATTCATGAATGTCTTTTTATGTACAACATTAGAATTACATTTTATATATCATTATACACATTATAATATAAAATTTTAATATTGCAAAAATGGACATAGAGAATATCTGCATGAATATCTATATATATATATATATATTATGATATTCATTTATGATAATATATTATCGTAACCTAAAATGGCATTGGATGTAAGAAAAAAGTGCTATTACGGTTTCGTATCGATATATCTATTAATTAAAAATCTGTATTTTATATATATTGTATCACTATGGATGGCTATCAACATTTTTATATTGAAGAGAACCCAATACTAAAGTCAAAACGTCTGTATTAAAATTTTTAATATGTATTATTACACACGAATATCTAGTCTTGGCTCACATAGACATTTCCTTACATTACCATTATTCAGTCTTAAGAAGTCATACATGAACCAATCAGAGAACTGTATTAACGTCTTAAGACGGTCTCGAAATAAGAACAGACTATGAATACCGGCCATGGGCCTTATATTCAAGACCGTCTTAAGTATTGGGTCATCTAAAAAGTATCCGCGGTTTTTTGTTTCACTAGATGTGTGTTAATGGTCATATATGTAGTGACAAAGTACCGCGGATACTTTTTAGATGACCCAATACAATCTTAAGATAAAAAAAATCGATTTCTTTTTTTTTTCATTTTCTTGTAATTCGGAGTCGTAAAAATGTGTTCCTAAAACATTGAGATGAAATTCGTCAAATTAACCGAGCTACAAAGGTTTAGAGGACGCAGCGCCCATACGATACGAGATTACGTCTCGCAGACGGATCGTTTGCGTGATATAAAGGCCGTGGCACATAAAAAAAACTTAATTAGTAAAATATAAACAGTAAGCGCATTGACCAATCATGGTAGAGTCTGTAAGGTTATAACATAAGCAGCCAATCCAACATGTTGATTTTCTTATATCTTATTTAAGTTTTTTATGTGGCATAGCTCTTACTCTATGCAGCTAGATGGTGTCGTATGTAGCTCAGGATGATCCTTTGTAAAGATGCATTCTGAAATATCATCCGGGTGCGTGCTCTCGTGTATCATCTTATCCTTTAACATTGAGTGAATAATAAGGATAAAACGATTCACGCAGGAGCACTCGAGTGATGTTCCCAAACACAACTTAATCTGTGAAATTTCGTTTAAAATGTCCGATATAAGGATTAGTGTGTCCTCGAGCTCTTCGAGAAAAGTATTTTATATAGCAATGGTATAGCCGACTAAGGGTAAGTTACTGAAATTACTCATTATTCGTAAATGCACGAGAAACTTTAAACGAGTTTTTCTCGAAATGACTTTTTTCAAATCGGGCGTGTATTTTTCTCACAAACTACTGGGCCGACTTGCGCTTTGGCACATGTATAGTGTACATATTAGACTATATTTGATTCTCCAACTTTTTGATATCTTCAAAATTACTATTTTTCCGGACCGCAGGAAATGAATATTTTTTAGTAAAAATTGAAATATTTTCTTTCAAGCGGCGTCATTTTGTCAATTTTTTTTCAATTATTTATTAGAAGAACGATAACTACATTTCTGAAGAATAAAACAAAAAAAATTCGTTTGTTTCAGATTACGAGGACGGCAGCAATCATTACGTCCGACGAAAGCAAATTTGTCAAGCATGATCTATGCATTTATTTATAACTTTTATAATTAACAATAAAACACTTTATAAAAATTTGAGGTATTATTTCCAATATATTGGGTCATCTAAAAAGTATCCGCGGTTTTTTGTCACTAGATGTGTGTTGATGGTCATATATCTAGTGACAAAGTACCGCGGATACTTTTTAGATGACCCAATAGATAAATGTAAAATACATAACATTAGCTGTATAGATTTAATCATTCTTACAAACTTAATTCCCAAAAATTGCCTTAAAAACGAGTAGTCAAAATAGAATACCCCCTTAAACGGTGACAACTTTTTACGTGACATTGTGACTTTTAACATAAAAACACGAATATCACGCGTACATCACGCAAACATGTGACTGATGTGATCCTATCGCGGCCATTACACATTATGTGACCGTTTTATTCCTATGTCGCGCTATGTAATACATAGGTTTTGGAATCAATTTTTATGCACGGTATATAGAGGAGTCAGCGATTTAACGTTAGATATAAATATTTGTGGTCTCTATCCTACATTAACTTTTATAATACTACATTACATTATGTTCGAAACTTAAAGCAAGGAGCAGAGATTCTTGCATAAGTCCGGATTTACGATAGATATTTTAAGCTTTAAGCCTTTAAGTAAGAAATTGACCAATTGCAGTCAAATGCGAGAAGAATAATTAATTGTGATTCGTTCATTTCTTATAGCTTAAAAATCTATGTAGATCCATGTTAACGCATAACACAGGCATAAAAAATTTAACCAACCAATCATTCTTTATTTCATGGAAAAGAAGAAAACGATGGACTTCGATTGGTACATTTTTTTTTATGTATTACATGTTATGCATTATGCAAGAGTCTGTGCTCCCTGTCTTATAGGCTTTCTACAATAAGTCATTACCTAAGCTTTAAGTCTTAAACTGTAAGAAATAAACCAATCATAATCAATTATTCTTCTCACATTCTATTGTGATTGGTTAATTTTTATGATTTAAAACTTAATACTGAGATAATAGCTTATATGATTATATAGCTTATGTAGAAAACCCATTAAAGTTTGAAGTTCGATCGCGATAAAAAAATTTTTTCTCTTGCAGCTAAGGAAAAAGGATCCGCCACATCCGATTAGAGTGGCGAAGACGATCGACGTGATAGCCAGGATTACTTTTCCAGTCGCCTATTTCATGTTCCTCACTTTCTTCTTCATTCACTATAAGGGCACTTCGTAGAATGATATACAACAATCTCCGAGAAGTCTCCTATCACTGGTATGAGCAACAATGAAACTTTGCAATAGATGACGTTCATGTCATAGAAACCAAATCTACAGTCGATTCGAATCTTCTCTTAAATTTGAAAATGTTTCCAAATAAATAAAGACATAATCATTTGTGTCATAATAAAACAATTATCTGATTTTTTTCGGTAAAGATAAGAAATAACAACATATAATACAAATAAGTATATAGATCCAAAATTTCTGAACCATAAATATTACCTAACTATAATAAATGAACGAAATCAAATTAGTTGCAATGGATAGATGGAACATCTGAAGTATAAGAACATTTTTTTTTCTGAAGGGAAAAAGAATCACTAACACAAGAATATGCAAAGACGCGACATAAAAGAAAAGGATACCAACGATGGATCATCTCCAATCATTCTTCGTCTCCTCTCACGTGTGATAGTTCTTGGATGCACTCTTCTATGAAGGAAGTAGCTGATTACGATCGCTTCGCGAGCAACAACCATATATATTTATCTTCATACTCTTTTCTCTTTCTTACATCTGATAGATAATAGAATGTGTTACTGACGAACGCTTTGGCTAAGCAGAAAGAATGACGCTTAGCTTAGTTAATGATGTGATCAAATGTATAATGTAAGATATATTGTAATATCATTACAGAAGAACCTCTGTATTCTTAACACTTTGAACTTTTAACTTTTACATTCTTATATGATATGTTTCAGGATGCCCTAAGTACTAATCTATAATTCACGAAGTGCTGTAGACTTTCAATACTATCGATACATTTCAGAATATATTTTTATTTTTCTCTTATTTATTTTCATGTTTTTAACATTTTTGTTTGCATCGCTTCAACATTCATATATTTGCTACGATGATAAAATAGCAAAACTTCTTATATCTGACACTAAATGGATTAATTATATTTAACTTATACAACCATAAATATATAGTAACGGCACTTTTAAAAACACTGGTTTAATTTTAAAGTGAAAGATTTGAATATATTCTCTTTAGTTAATGTTATACGCATGGTGATAAATTAAAAGAAAATGAAAAAGGAATAAAAAACATATAGAAATAATTAAGTATAAAAATAACAATCTTTTTAGTGCAAAGATATTGTCAATAATCTCGGGACAGCGGTTGTAAAATAAAAAAAATACTTAAAAAAAAATGTTTACACTTTAATTAATATGTTTAACGTTAATAGATCTTATGAATTGCATATTTCAAATAGATTCACTAAATGTATAATTAACATTTTTTGTAACAGCGAATTCGATTGGATGCACTTAGTGCACATTGATGCACATTAAAATTATCGTACACAAATTGACGCAAATATATGTATTTAATTTAATATAACATAAAAACGAATGAAAATCTCAACACATCTTATTGTGCTATTAAATAAAATCTGTATTTTATTCGAAATATTTTCATTTTACTAATAGATAAAATAATATTAATATACAATAGTGCACACTAATGCATATTAAAATCGTATACTTTATCTATTTTAGTAATATATGCACTAGTGTACGTCCAAATTCATCGAATTCTCTCACTATAAGAAAATTATAAGAACAAATGACTGAGCCAAAAAGAAGAAATTGCATTGAGCAATAATACACTCAAATAGTAAAATCCATTAAATACTTAATTTGAAAGATATTGCTTTTTATTATAGTAGAATTATATCAGAAATTTGTTAAATTATTATTAATAAAATATCAGAATTTGTTAAATTTTATTAGTAGAATATCAAAAATATAACAGAGGAACCTGCTAACACAATATAATAGAATTACAGAAATAGAATTTAAAGAAATAGAATTTCATAATTATTTCATAATCATTTGAATGATATATTCTATTTAAATTAATATATATATTGATGTACTACTGCTTCTATTTTCTTTTGTAAATTGCGTAGTTTAAATAATAGATATATTATTGACAATATTAAATCGCTTTATATGTTTGTAGTCTCCTAGAACTGTTTTATTTATATTTCATTTTTCTTCCTTATTTCTCTCATGGTACAATTTTACGTTAAACATACAATTGGGGTGCAGCATAAACCAACACTCTTGTTAGTAAAACTAACTTTTATATAGTATCACATTATTTATCAAATAACTATCAAAATTGAAGACACTTCCGCATATAGATTTTATATATATGGATACACCTTTTTCGTTAGATAGAAAGAGATACTAAATGCATTGTATTTTCTATCCTTCATTGCACCAAACGTCACGCATGCTCGAAATGACATATGAAAAATGATCAACCATTTCAAATATATCACGCATTAATATTGTAACCGATAGATTATAACTGACGAAGTTTTGCAATAATGAGAAAATAAGACAATGTAATATATTGGAGCTATGTAGTGTATATTGGAGAAAGAATGACAATATTTCCTTTCATTCGTAAATATTTAATAAATGATTCAAAAAGTAATAAAACATAATTGAAGTTTATACATATTTATATGACATTACACCCGAGTTTGCACAGTAGTCTCATTCTCATAAAAGAATAGAAGATATAAGTTATTTTCCATTTACATCAATTCTCAGATGATTCTCACTTATGATGTCATAACTCAGTTGAATGCACGTTCCTTTTGCATTCTGACAAGTAAGATTCAACTGAGTTTTAACTATACTCTGAATAAGATCGAGACCGTGTGTTTTAATGAGTCTCATAAACTCACTCCAAAATGAGGTTACGAACCTATGTTGACATATGATAACTTTTTATCAAAGTAAGTAAGTAGTGATGTCATTAACCTTTACCCTATAAGGATACAATTTGGTACCTCCATACAAACGAGAGAGCACTAGAATCCAGTTTTTTTCATCCATTCAGAATGATTCAAAAAATCTCTAAAAATCTACAACATACTTTCAACTTTCTAGAATAAATATTGGAACTTCATTTTGGAAAATAATAAAATGTAGTATAATTTATAATTAGACTAGATCCGAAAGACTTAAAGAAACTTGCACGAAGAGGAATCGCTCAGATCACTAGTGACCCGTCTTGTAAGATAAGGGTTAATCTGAGTATAAAAATCAGCTCACTTCAGACTCAGTTTCACTTGTGTGTAAATGGAAACCAATTATTATATATATTTACTTGCTCTGTTAACTTGATCCCCTGATTACAAAGCGTATCCATATTTATAAGATCTATGCTTCTGCATTTACAGAAAACTACTCTCTCCCTCCAAAACTCGCGCTACATATTTGTGCCTTGTGGAATAGCATAAAGTATACATTAATTAAATCAACAAAAGATGTTTTACTTGAAATAAAAGGATTCTTTAAATTCTTATATACATACATTTTCCTACTAACGCTAAATATTCCTAAAATATTCATTTTAAAAATGCTCAAAAAAAAAACGTTCGAAGAGATTCTGGAATAACCCAAAATATTTATGGAATATAACAACAATATTCAAATATCGGTTACAAATTCTATTTATACAGGATGTTTTCTTTAACTTGATCATTCTCTTTAAAATCTCCATTGTTTTTGATATGAGAAAATACCACAGGGGATCTTGTTCTATTCGAAGGGACATATTATAATAAGCAAAAAAGTTTTCTCAAAATTTTTTGAAACTTTAAGGTGAAGGTTTTAAATGGAATTGTATAATTTTTTTTTACAAAATATGATTCCTATAATTATTCTGCATATAAAAGTATTAAGATAATGATAGCAAAAAAACCAATAGTATGAAGTATTTTATACTTTATTCTGGCAAATACAGAATTAGGTATTTAAAACAGGTCATCTGAATAACTCGCTTGTTTTTAATAGTAGAAGGAAAAGTGCCAAACAAAAGTTGCATGATTAAGGGGAACATATTTTAGTCATATTGTCTTTCTTCTAGATGGAGGCACTAAAAAGATATGAAAATCACTTCCATTTTTTTAAACAAATTTATATAATTTTTTTTACACAATATGGTTTCTCTAATTATTCTGCATATAAAAATATAAAAATAGTAATATCAAAAAACCAATAGTTTACGAGATATTTTATACTTTATTCTGTCACATATTGACATAAAATAATAAATATCTCATCACATATCAACTATTGGTTTTTTTATAATCGTATTATACTTTAATACTTTTATGAACAAAATAATGAAATCAATTAATTAATGGAAAGAAAATACAATTGCTTTAAAAAAATATGTACGCAAAATAGATAATTTTTTAAATAACTATGTTTTCTTTCCACTAATTAAATTCATCTTATTATTCTATTCATAAAAGTATTAAGGTACGATTATAAAAAAATTAATGGCTTACGAGGTATTTAATATTTTATATCAATATGTAACAGAATAAAGTAAAAATATCTCGCAAACAATTTTTTGCTGTCACTACCTTAATATTTTATATGCAAAATAATTAGAGGAATTATATATTATGTAAAAAAATCATACAATTCCTTTTAAAAAAGTGGACCTTGAAATTTCAAAAAATATGACCTTGAGAAAAATTTTTTGCTCATCATATGTGTCCCTTTAAATCAAACAAGATCATCTGTGGTTTTCTCATATAAAAAATAACGGAGACATTTTAAATAATCAAATTACAAGAAACACTCTGTATATTGTTACATATTTCGAGAATGTTCTATATAACACTTTTTAGGCTTTCACGAAGAATATTATCTTCAAAGATATCAGAAGATTTTGCAGATTATCGCCGTGTATTTATCCGATGCAAACGTTTCGTGAATTTTGTCATTCACTTCATCAGGGCGAGGAGCGCACTGATGCTCCGAAGAACTCTCTTTATGTAGACGCTGTAGGGAAGCGGGGATATTAAGAAAGGAAGGAGGGGATCTTCCTTGATTCGGAAAATTTCTGAGCAAATATGAGAGGCTCTAGAAATAAAACATCCAGACAATTTGAACCAGAGACTCAGATTATAATGTAAGTAGGATATGAAAAATTGCTCTCTTAACAAGATAAGGAAATCCCTCTTTTCCCTTCCTCAACATGTCCTCGACCCCTTCTATAGCATCTACATAAAATAAGTTCTCTCGAAAAGAAACTCACTATCAGTGCGCTCTTCAGTGTCGCCAGTCATAGGCGTCATAATTCTCTCTACCTGTAAGGACATTTAATCGCAAAAATGACGTAGGGAAGATTTGGTTAAATTTCAAAAAATGTAGGGACATTTTGATAATTTGACAAATAAATTTTTTGCGTACGGTAATCGACATAGGCTGTGTTTCAAAATTTACTGTCAGCAATCTGAAAATCTATAATGCACGTGACGTAAACTATAGATTTTCAGTACTGGCAGTAAATTTTGAAACACAGCCGTAAGTGGTGTCCCTTGGCGCGCGGTGCACAGTGTATCGCCAGTGTGTCGCGCCGCGCGTCGAGAGATACGGATACCATTTATGGTTGAGCGTTATGTACATCTGTCTTTGTCTAACTTTCTAACTTATACATTGGCATTCACAATACAATTACAATCGTCCTCTTTTTCTAGAGAAAAAAATCTTCTAAATGTGAAGTTAGTTTTATAAGAAAATAGCCAGGTAACTTGAACCAGTTCTTAATGATAAGTACAAAGCAATGTGTAAAACTTGTAATAAAATCATAACTGGAAAAAGTGAACTACAGA